CTCAGTTATTTTAGTATTTAATTTGATTATTTTAACTTTCAAATTAGTAAGTTCTCTTTTATAACAACTAATCTTACTTTGTAAGTTACTTATTGTTTTTTCTTTATTCTTAATATCTGCCTCTACAGCTCCATTTTCAAGATTTTTAATTACTGTCTTTTTCTTCTTACTCATACAAGTTTATGTAAAATTATTTTAAAAAATTTTATTAGTTAAATTCCAAATTGCTTAAATAAACTTTCCCATGTTATTTTTTCATTAACTAAATCTTCTACAGTTGAAATTAAATCTTTAATTAAAATTCTTACTTGCTGAGTTGAATCTCTATCTCTCAAAGTAATCGTATGATCTTTTAGAGAATCCGGATCTGCTGTGGCAAAATAAGGTATTCCTAATTCATCACTGGTTGCATATCTTCTACCTATTGAACACGACCTGGTATTAAATTCATATCTTATAAAAGACTTTTCAAGATCTTTCCTTATTTTAGAAAGTAAATCATTATAATCAGATGATATTCTAAGTGTTGTTATTACAAGATGCTTATAACATAATGAAGGTTTAAGCGCTAAAATAAATCTTTCATTCTCAATAATAAACTTTTGTTCAATAAGTGCATACAAGATTCTTGATATTCCAAATGATGGTTCAATTACATTTGGAATTTTATTTATTGATTTTATTTCTTTTTCAACAATTGGAACTTTATAAAATTTACCTTTAAATTCAAGTTCATAAAAATCACTCTCTCCAACACTCACAATCTTCTCAGAATCAACCTTTTCACACTCCTCTTCAAACTCACTGTATAGTGATTTAAGTTCTTTAATAAAAGATTTTTTATCCACTTTTAAAATTTTTACTTTTTTAGGTGGTATCTCAATATTAACCATAGAATTAATATTATTCTTATGACATGTTAAATCAAAACATCCTCTATCTGCTATACCTGCACACTTTATCCAACCAGACAATGTTAAAACTTCTGCATCCCAGCATTCATTAGCATAATGTGCCATTTCATTAGGTTTATGTTGTCTAAATCTCACTGTTGAAGGGTCGAATTCCAACTCAAGCAAAAATAAATATGCTTTACCAATAAAATACGCAATTGATTGCGAATAGATAATATTTTATTCTAAAGATTCTTTTAAGCTTAATTTAAATGAAACATCAGCATTATTTGGTAATAAACAAACTTCTAAATCACTAACATCAATAAAATTAGGATGGTTGTTATTTAAAGTAAAATATTCAATTTCAGCTTGAATAAACTCTTTTGTTCTTAACATTCCTCCTTTGGCATTGATTTCATTTCTGTAAGATTTTCCAATTGAAAAAGATCCTAATGGGAACTTTCCGTTAGCAAACTTGTAAATTCTATCAAAATTTGTAAACTGACTTTGAGCTAATTCAGGCCTTAAAAAGAAACTTTCATTCTCAATCTTAAAGATCAAATTAAAATCTTTAGCAGGTAAAAATTCTCCGTTTGGTCCCTTTAAATTATTAGATTTCACAATAAAATCAATTTCTCTTTTAGTACATTCATTAATATGTTTTCTATAACAATCAAACTTATTAGTTATTTCTTTACATAAATCATTCTGTTCTTTAACTCCAAGTGTCTTCAAAGTTTCTGTAAGATTACTAGTGGATAAAGATTCTTTAGTCTTATCTACTTGTTTAAGAGTATCTTCATTAATATTAATTGGAACCATGTGATATTCACCAACTTTTTCTTCAATCAAATGATCTGCTCTGAATGTAGTAACACCATCTGTTAATACAATATCACAGAATCTATCAACATGACCAGAGTTTTTAAGAACATCATATGGAACTAATACACTTGCATCAATTTCATACATGTTTTCATCAATCATAATTCTTCTCCAGGCATTAATTATTTCATTCTTGATCGTAACTAAACATGGACCATAGTCATAAAGTCCATTCTGAGGTGGATAATTGACTTGACCAATAAAAAACTTTCTTTTAATTAATTGATCTAAAATTTCTTTCTTATCTTGTTGCATCTTAAATAATGAAGGGTTTTTATAAAAAATTTATTCGTTTTTAAGTTTTTCTTCAATAACTGATTTGATTTTAGAAAAATTCTTTGCAATAACAGCTAGTTCTTTTAAATCTAATTCTGTAACTTTATCAATAAACTCCTCCAACACAGCTAGAGCAACATTACCCTTTTCAACCTCACCATAATCACACTCCTTAATCCCCATATCTTTATTAAACTTAATTAATGTTTTCATGTAATTTACTTCTACACGGAAGAATTCAATATAAATACGATGTTCTTTATCATCACATAATGATATTGCCTTAATAAAAAATTCTCTAGCTAATTCAATATCATTTATATCAGAACATTTTTTTGCTGCAAATATCCACAAATCTCTATCATTTGGTTTCTTCATACATTTTTCATTCAAAATTCTCTTCATTTCTGATTCAAATCCTGTTGAAATACAAAAATCAACAAATGACTTAATTAAAGAAGTTTCTTCAAAGAGTCTCATTGCTCTTATGTAAATTGATAAAATATTTCTTTCAAGTATAAAATCACTTTGTATTGTGTTTGTTCCAACTTTAATTATTCTTTTATTTCTCAATTTTCTAATCTTTTCTTCTGATTTGATATAAGCAACAAAATCTGTTATCTTTTTAAGTCTTCTTAACATTTTAAGTTCAAAATGTCTACGTTTCTCAACAATGTTATGTATTTCATTCGAATTAAATACAGAACGATCTTTATATCCTTTTAGTTCTGGAACAAATGATTCTAAAATATTCTGGACACTTTTAACCATCTTTTAAATTTTGTTGGGTAAAATTTTTTAATAAATTTATTTCTTAAAAGAAATCTTCCATATCAATTCCTTCACTTGATTCAGTTTCTGATTCTTCTTCAGAAGATATTGCTTCTTTTTCTACTGGAGCAGCTGTTGATGTATTACTTTTATTAAGTGATGCAGCAATTTCAGAACCTTCCTTTATTAATTCAGAAATATCTTTTCCTTCAATCTTTTCTGAGAATGATTTGTAAGCTTGACTATTAGCCTCATTATCTTTAGAACCAGCAATTTCAAGTAACTTTATAATTAAACTTTCTCTTGGTTCTACTTCACATTCATTGCACAATAAATAACTGCATATTAAATCCATTTTATGGGTTAAAAATTTTTTAAAAAATTTAATCAATTTTCTTTTCAGAATCTTTTATCTTAGTTAGTTTTAAATAGATAAATTTCAATAGAAGAAGTATTCCACAAATGCCTATGTAAATATGCATGTAGAAATAAACACTTTTCCATACAATAAAAGTTTCTTTAACGGATTGTGTTAAGAAAGGAACTGAGAAGTATGAAACAAATAAACTTGTTTGAATCCTTTTTATCAAATTGTTTTCAAAATTCTTATTAAAATCATCAAGTATCTTTCCTAGTAATGGAAATGATAAAAAGAACAATAAAGTTGATGGTTTGTAATTATGAAAGAAACCAGAAACTGTAAATGTAGATAAAATAGCATAAAACTTACCATAAGAAATATACTTTAAGAAAATAAATTCCTTTAAAAACTTACTTACAAACTTATTCCAATTACTCGTTATTTCCTGAACAGATATGGCTGCTTCTGTCTTTTTAATATCAAAATTCAATAAATCTTCATAGCCAAACATTGAATAACAACAATGTGAAAACGTCCAGATAAAATAAAATTTTGTTCTTAATCCAAAATTCCATAAGTATAAAAATAATATTTTTTAATAAAACTATTATTTTTATACTTTACTGGTTCAAGTAAATCAAGAGTTTTAGTTTTTGCATAGATTAATAAATAAATAACCGATAAAAACAACTCAATAAATGACAAAGTAAAATATTCTCTTATCTCA